TCAAAGGCTCCGGGTAAAAACGGCACCACCCACTGCCCATATCAGACAGTATAAAATCACCCATATTATCTCTGTCTTCGTCATCTTTACTGGCGATTTCTGGAACGAAACATTCAAATAGTGAAGCACAGATAAAAGTAAAAAAAACTGTACCAAGCATAGGTCTGCTAATATCGAGTCCCACCCAATAATGACCAGCATTTGCCAGCACCCCTCCGCTTATTCCTGTGCCGCATCCTTCAACAAAAGTAATCAATTTCAATGAATACCTTAAAATGGAAGAGGTTTATCAGATTGATGACGTACCAATGTCTAACAAGAACGCTGATTTATCGTCTGGTAACGCAAGCAACTCCAACGCCCTTTCAGCCATCTCAGTTTGAATGGAAACTATGTGAGAATTTGAAGCGTATTTACATGCTTCCGATTCATTATAGTACTGAAACAAGCAACAACTAACCTGATAAATACAACTTACTGTTAGCACTAAACTAAAGAAAAGTCATCATCAAAGTTTATAATGAGCTTTTTGACATGAGACCCCTAGCCTTCTCTCTACGGTTACTACAGAACTACAGAAGGACATGAAACTATCATCGGAGAGTTGGGAGTTGAGCAAATCCACCGTACAGTAAATTGAGAATACTGCAATCACTCCAAAAATGAGGTGAAGGTGATGTAATGGCAAGTGGCATGCCTACCATTCGCGCGGTCAGGGGTTCAAATCCCGGATCGACACCCGCACAGGCCAACCATGGTCTCTATCCTTCGGGGACGGTAACTTAGCACCAGATTCGACTGAGAGGATAAGAACACTGACTTGTACATCGGCTGGCCCCCCAAGTATTATAGGCCACATCGCATTCAATAAGCCACTACGATTCTGAATGGAAGTAGAATGCGTGCCGCATCCCACAAAGGGATTGATCAACGGCGAAGACTTTATCCTTTATCGCTTTACTCCGAAAATAAAACTGGTGGATCATGCGGAGCCCATGAAATGGTGGGTAGCGGGCGTGTCAACGGACTTGGTTATGATGGGCTGAGCATCAGTAAAATGTCACTGATATACTGTGGAGAAGGCAGGAGCGTTTCATATCATTTACGACTTTATTTTATTTGACATTTCACTGGTTGAGGCTCTTTCTTCTTTCATATGGGTCGGTAGCATCAACCGCAACTAAATCCAGAAGGGAAATTAGCTCTAACTCGCTTCTTGTATCACTTTTGTAAGTAAAAATATTTGAAGCTCTCAGAAAACTCCTGAATTGAAATGGGCTCGAAGCAAGCGAAAACGCTTTTCGACTTCTTCAAGGCGGACCGGGGTTAACAACAGCCTGAATGGATCAGTTCCTTGAGGTGATCCAGCCCTTCAAAAGTGCGAAAGTTTATTAATTTGAAGCTTGCATAATTTCCGTATTATAGTAGGCATTTTTGGTAGTTGAAAATCAAAATATTTTTTGACGTGAGCGTTTTGCCTTTTGAACAACCATGCCAACCAGTGGTTTCCTTAGGAGCATCATAAAAAAAACATATAGTATGCCCTTTCAGCAATTAGCAAACTCCGCCTTGTGTCATGACCGAGGTGATTTACTGACGACAGTTACGTCCATAAAACGTCTTTTGAGTAAAGTAACGATGGTTATTTTGCGTTCGGGGACTGAGGTGTTTCCGATGGCTGTGTTGGGTTGTTGGTGTGCCCGTTGTTCGTGTGCTTATATATAGTGGTCTCTTCGAAAAATAACGCGTGCAGTTGACTGTGCTGTCCTGCATACTCCCCTCCACAGTTTGTATCCTAAAACGGAAACCTTTCCGGCCAGGGCTCGATCAGAATGTTCTGCTCAGGACTGTACTTCCACTCGGGAAAACCACTGAAAAACCATGCATATAATAGGCCATTCCAGCGAAATTTGAACCTATTCCTATCTCTGATAACATGCCTGCGGAAGCCAGCACTCAAGCCATGCGTTTTCACATGCATCATAGAACAGCCATTAGATCGCATGTGACCTTGCGTGCCATACAGACCAGCCCGTGCGCTCCAAGTAGTACATGGTCGTCCTTTCTTGTGCAAGTAGTACAGCCCCAAGCTAGAGACTGTCCCACTCTCGCGACTCCAAGCGAGCGATTAGAGAGCTACGGCCGCTGAAAAGTTCTAGTTCTAACGCCTGCCCACTTGGACCGTGCCCTCACCTTGCTAGATGCCTTCTGACAAAGGGCGCTCAGTTGTTTTTGTTGCGAGGCGGCGCGGCCATTAATTGCAACGCAATTGCCCTTTTCCGGGCTTTGCCATGATTCTGCTTTCCTTTATTACATTTTATTTGTTAGGGGCACATACAGTCAACTCCAACCCATTTCGCAATGTTAAGAGCGCGTTCAGACTTCGCGATCGCGCGATCCGGATCGCGTGATTTGGATCGCGCGATCGTGAAGTCTGAACGCGCTCTTTTAACGCGCTAGAAATCACCGAGCGAACCCAATTTCTGGTGCAAAACTGCGACGCACTTCACTACACTAAAATATGCACGCTACCGTCTCACTTTTCTTTTCAAGAGTTTTACATTCTGTGTTTTGTTTGCTTTTCTGTATTCTTTTCTTTGCATTGGGTAATATCAACTATTGTTAGATGTGATAGAGAGATTTGTGAGCAGGGGTTGCACAGAGACCGCAGGGAGGTGTGACTGTCAGGGAGCGATTTTGTTTATGGTGTTCTTGAGGACTCTTCTTGCTTTTTTCTTCTTTGGGGAATTACTTATCAGCTACTGTTTCATAAAAAGCAACTATCCATGACACTTTTATCGCGGGAGCTGTCTTTAAGTTCAGCCCAAAGCGGCTCACTCGTCAAGTCAATCAACAGATTAAATCAATTTCACGAAGAGTCCATTGAATAGTCAGTCCTACACTTCCAAGGTTGATACAACATGACTAATGGATCAACATGGACTTCCATAATTTGCATGGGCAAGCCAACAGATTTCGTTATGTACAGACTTGTTCGCTGCGGATGGTGGAACGTGTCAGCAAGGCTGCCTGGTGCGGGCCAAGCCCGAATCCAACAAGCTAGCAAGCGACAAGAATATTCCATATATTTCGTATCAGTCCTTTCCCACCAAAACATGTCGTTTGTCAACTTCAACAACTGGTGGAGAACGGGTTCACCGCGTCAAATGTAGCCGCACTGACGCTGCACCCCATCAGCAGCAGGTATAAAGACGGTCCAAAGCTTCGAATCTTAGTTCAGCCTATATTTTTATGAGCCACAGCGAACTTCAAAGAAGATCCTCACCAGTTCCGGAGGACCAGAATGCTCTGGCCGAACGCGATTTGCAGCCATCGTCGACGCTGTAGTAAGTAGAGTTCGACTTTAACGCAGAAAAAATGTTGTCATGGAGCCTCAGAGGGCGTGAAAGGAATCGCCAGAGCAGTTTCTCCCATAGCAAACAAGAAATTACATGAAAACAAATTCATTGAAGAATACGGCTCAAAGCAACGTAGCTACATTATGGAATCGGACAAAAGCTCGAAAATTTACAATATACGACGAATCACTATAGCACAATCTCACAGACCCGAATTAAACGAGATTTCTTACGAAGATCCAACACGACAACACCGAACTCAATTTAGAGAGCGACTGAATTTGCTCTAGTATACACTCATGCTTTGAATGCTTTCCGAAACACTTGTGCTGCTAGAAGAATGGCAATGCTGCTGAAGAAACAGCGAAGGTACCCAGTACTGAATGGTATCCGCTGCTTGTTCATCTACCCATGCCAGTCCTTCCTTCACCAAATGGTCCAACACAGCTTGAGCTCTTGGTTCATCCCATCTGAAAAGCCACATTACAGAACAGTGAATTTTGTACTGAAAAGAACCATGAAGGCGCCATGAGCTCACCGCAATCTGTCAATAATAAGCTCTTTTGTAACGTAGGCTGCGTCTTCAGCCAACTGGAGCACTCGTGAGTGGTCCATACTCAGTTCACCAGGAACTGACTGTACAAGAAAGCGTCCACCACCTAGTGGTACTAGCTCAAAACCGCCACCTAATACTTTCAGTTTATCTACAGCACGAAGAATGTCGTCCCTAAAAATAGGACACAAATATGACCACTAATCTAGCAGGTTAAGTTATTCAGTCACGATCAAACAGACAACGAAACCCACGTTGTAATGGTTTCTTTTCTCGTTCGAGATCGACTCCGCATCAAGCGATTCCTTATTTCTTCTACTTGAAATGACTATTCCTTCCCTTCCTCGTGAGAAACGTCCTCTAGAATGTTTAATGAAGCCGGGAGAAATTATTTATTTCCCGGATAAATGGTGGCATGCTACATTGAATACCGAAACCAGCGTCTTTATCAGCACGTTCCTGAGTCCTTGAATTGTTTGCGCGCTGGAACGCTTTTTGAAATGTTTCTATCGTGCGATTTCATTCCTAAAATGGAAGAATCCAAGAACGTCTAGATTTAGACTCTGATTTTTTTTTAAATCTTGTTTTCTGTCACAATCAAATTGTGAAAGTTCCACTTGCATTTCTCTCACCTACATTTCAAATGTAACTTCTAAAGTAAGTAGTGAACGCCTTCTCACCTTAAAGTCCCTTATTATTGAACTGATTTCTCTGGGTTGTGCAAAGCAGGCATTTGAAAGATAGTTGTATGCAGCACTCGTGGCTTCTGGAAGTGTGTTCGAAAATATTATCTCATCACATATGGAGCACCATTTTGCCTAAGAACCTGCTCATACTCTTCAAAGCTCTCGGGTTACATAAGTTTTATGCGCGGCGGCAGATCGGTCTTAGGTGTCGTCTTCGGTGTTAAAATCTAGTCGCTCTGCTGTTAAAACTATCAATATTCTTGTTATAAGTCTCGTTTGGAACTCAATTGTTTGCTGTTGTTGACCTAATCTTTTTTATGGATGATGATTTCTTGGTTTTCCATTGTCGGTTCACTTTGTTATTTTTGTGTCTTGATGGCCGTTCTAATTAGAATGCCTTCACTACTTGTTAAATACAGTTTTGTTAGACATTGTTTCGTAATTTATTCGGCTACCCTTCATTGTTCC